AGCTGAGGCGGAGAAAAAACGAGATATGTGGATATCTTACATGATTGAAATGTGTAGGAGTTAGGTATAGCGGACTGAGCTGCTTGCTGTCATAGAAGACTAGAGGTAACTGAGCAGCAGATGCCGCTGTGTTGCCAGCTGCTGGCCCGAGCTGCCATCTCAGTCAGATCTGTCCTGACACTTACCTGTGGATGTGGTTTACTCCATTCAGTACTGGAAGTCACGAAAGCTGTTTTCTGTTTCTCATCTTAGAAAATTCAGCTACTGATTTAGATGCCCTAACATTAGTCTTACATTGAGTATGTCAAATGTTGAACTACAAAATCTTGACTATCTCTGTCTGTGTGCAGTATGTGCAGTATGGTAATTTATATGGAGGCAGTACTCACACAGGGATGAGAAGCCTGTTGTGCTTGTTGCTGTATAAACCACCAGCAAGATGCCCCAGTCCTGCAATTTGGAAGAGCTAAGATCCGTAAGAGGTGGGAAGTGTTGAAGCACACTCATTAAGCATTTCACCCAGCATCACAAAAGCAGTCTGTGATACAGCAGAAAAACACTTCTGTCCTCAGACTTGTAACTTAACAGCAAGGCTTCTGCCAGTCCCGTATGTGAACCTAATAGATGTATAGCCCCGTGGCAGGTACTGATTAACAAAAAAAGCTGTTATGCTTTATGAAGTGCTGGAGTATTGTATATTTTCATGTCTGTTGTGGTGTCCTTCCCTCTCAGCATGAGAGAGAAAGAGAGAGAGATCCTCCAGATAGCAGTGTCCTTATTAGCTACAAGTTCAGCCAAGCATGTGCTGCTTTTTCTGTCACTCGGTGCTATGGTTATCTGCAGAACGGGAATAGAAAACGAATGTCTAATCTTTAAAAGGGGCTTAGGAAGATTACTTCAACCTTTACCCTGCCCTGGCTGAACTTTGCTTAAATCCTAAAATGCTCTAAATAACTTTTGTTTCAAAGATGGACTTTAGTGTACGATGCTGGCACCACGCAAAAGGAGGCAGCGGCAACTAGCTGGGGAGAGAGATTTGCACATAAAAGCAAAACCGGGGAGTGTTGCCTTTTCAACTTTCTTTTTGTTTTCCTAACAAAGAAAAGTGGAACTGTGCATGTTGGAATAACCCAGTGGGGAGGAGTGAAGGCCAGGCAAGGAGAGGAGGACTCCTCCTTGAACACTAGCAAGAAATGTGAACTCCTAACTCAGCGTGGGTTTATTCTTTCCCTTTGTCATTGCGACTTCCTGGCCTCCCAAAGAATTGCTTGGATCTTGTTTTTTACTAAAACTTCCAGGAAGGAGTAAATACATCTTCTGTGGTCTCTGGGGGTTCCCTCCAGAGCAGCACCAGCCTTAATTAGTCCCGCTGCTGGGACACATTCACACATGGTCTCCCACAACCACCAGAGAGAGACACCCTTGTTGCTTTGGGTGTGTCTTGAAAATGTGACCTAAGATTAGAGTGGAAGAGGAGAAGATTGTATAACCTTGTGATACTGGCTTACAGATATTTACTGACACTGTACTGAAAACACAGAAGTTGCCTGATGGGAAAGAGGAGATATAAAAGGCCATTTCCCAGAAGAGTGCTTTCCTTTGGTCTTGTGGGAAGAGAGCAGACAAAGCTTATGTAGTTGGAAGGTTTTTTCTTTAACCTCAACTTCTGCTAGAAAAATGGTAATTCATGACCATATTTATTAGGTTCAAACTCATTCTTACTTTACCTTTACATTTTCCTTCAATCTGGACCGTGCTGTCATACCGGGCAGCTGCCTCACCCAGGGCACATGTTCTGCCCTTGCAGAGCGCTCCCAGGGAGGGGAAGGGGACACTGCAGGGCCGGGGTTCCCACCTGCTGGCACAGGCAGGGCAACGCAGAGTGTCAGCTAGCTTATCGTGAGACAAACAAAGATTTAGGGAGCAGGCTGGGCAGCATGAGCCAACTGTAATACTTCAGGATGATGCTTCAGTGAGATTCAGCTCAGCTGAACACAGAGTGCCTCTGGCTGCTCCTCTTTGCTAGGTACCAACACACAGTCTGGGTGCTATTCCAAAAGTATCCAGTTTGATCTAACTGTAGGAGAAACTTGATTTGCTTTTATGTATATAATTTTGTATTCAAAGTGGTGTCTTTCCTCCGTCCCAAACAAAGGCAGAGTGATGAAAATAACCGTGAGTTAGCAGGTAGACAGAGGAGACTGGGAATAGCGTTGGCAGTGCTTCTGTCACACTGCTGCCCCTAGGAGGTGGATACTGGGGAGCACCTGCCGCCACTCATGGGGTGTTTGAGTGCTCCATGTCACCACAGCATGGGAGTCAGAACAACTACCATGTGTGTACCTGTCCTTGCTGTTAATTACCTTACCATTGAACGAAGCAAAACAACATAAAGGGCCCTTAGGAAATATTTAGAGGAACTGGAACATAAGGTTAAAGGTTCCTAATCTGCTTTATGATTGATCATAGTAGGGCTTGGTGTCGGGGCTGGGGAAAATAGTTTTCTTTTTTTTTTTTGATATAATATAGCCAGAAATTTTTCAGAATTGGTCATCTAACTGCAAATGTGCAGCACCTCCCCATCTGCACTGCAGCTGCAGTCCTTCTCCCTGATGTCTGCACAGCGTTGCGGCAGGCTCTTGGTGCTGGAAGAGCAGCAGTGAAGCAGGGCCATACACTGTCCCTCTGTCTGTTTTGTTGGCAATAAGTGTATGTTACAGCTGCTTTTTTCCTTATCATCCATAAAGTTAAATTATTCACAACCAATTTCACTCTAAAGAGCCCTTATGTACATTTGAAAAACAGAATGCATTTAAATGAAAGTGAAGTCTTGTTTCTAATCTATTATAGGGGTTCATGCTTCTCCTAAGAGATGACTGACTTGCTGTGAGGTTACCTTTTACCTTCGGATGTACACCATTACCTGGCAGCTGGTCTGCCTCAAAACCACTCTTTCCATCTCAGTGTGCAAATAACATACCATGAAAATACTGTCTTATAAGATTTTTTTTGAATCCATATGGCTTACCTGTATGTGAAGAAATTTCTGCACCTATAGACAAGGCGTTCAGTAGCTAAATAGTATTTCCCACTACAGTAAACTTTTCCAGAGTCCTTGCAGATCTTTAAAAGTAATTCCAAAATACATTAGAAATAAGTATGCAAAGAACCAACACTGATTTTGAAAATATCTGAGGTCAAGTGGGAAAGCATCTACAAAGGGTCTAACACAAGGCAGTAGCTTGCTACTCGGAACTGCTCGTACATCCTGCATTGTGAATGCCTATTTCCTCCTCTCCTCTCTTCTCTTCTTCTCTCAGCAGTGCTGCTTTTAACTAGTATAATTCAGAGCCCAGTGATTAAAAAGTCTTTCTTGTGAGCAGTATGAAGCCACTGCCAGCTCTCACGTTACCCCATGAACATGGGCAATGATTGTTCCTATAAAAATGTGCACACTGTTAAATGCTGTCATTTATTTCAGTGCATTTATTAATATAAAACATCAATGATGGTTTAATTAAGAGCTTAAATTTTTTATACTGCAAAGTAGAAATATTTATGAAAGAGCTGATCAGAGATAGAATATTAAAACAAAACAGGTGTTTTAGCAGAAACACAAATAAAATGTCTAACAGTAAACATTAAAAAAATCAATTATTAATCATGCTTCTTTTCATTCTATTGCATTACCTCCCAAAGATTTTGTGTCTAATGAAGTCTGTGGCTTTGCAATATTCTTTTATCCTACCACTTGGCCTTCCTATTTGTGTCCTGTGGTGCAGCTGGATAGATTATCTGCATCTTCAGAAGAATTCTGGGGACCAAACTGAGATTAAGGTTGTAAACCCACAGGGCTAAGTGTCTGAATTCCTTCTGAAGTGCTCAGTTGGAAGAGATGTCTGTGCCATTTCCTTGTTATGAGCAGGTTTGCACTCTTAATTTTAGTATTTCATCTCTGTTGATGATACCAAACCCAAAAACTTTGTTATGAACCCTTTGGTGGCCTGTAAAATGGCCTGATGTTTTCTAGCTTTGGCTCACATTTGGCTTTGCATTGTTAGAAAGGAATCAGATGAAGCTGCCTGTCTACACCTTAGGTTTCTTGCCCAGTCTGGTTGCAAGATGTCTACGAAAATGGAGAAAAAAAAATACAGGTCTATAATGTCATCCTTTGGTGATGTGGACTTTACCTGGTGCTTCATCACTGCTGAAGTTGCATTTCTTTTTTTCCCCCTCTTTCCCTTCTGGTTTTGCAGCAGGTGGTGGCAGATCCTGCAATGCTCAGCACTACCTTTATTTTTCTCTCAACATCTCAAAGCGTCTTGGCCTTTGACTTAATGCAGTCTGTAGGCTTCCTCCAACTAGGTTGCCTTCTGTTGACGTCTTAAAGTTGTCCCCTACCCAACTTGTTTGAAACGCTGGGTTCTTGTCACAGCATGCTATAAATTGCACGTTATTTATGACTTGCTCTTATATATTAAGGAAAATGTTGCTATTGACTCTACTGAAAGAATGACTGGGTCATAAAAGGATTGATTTTACATATTCTCTGCTATATTTTTGGAGATAAAAATTGTGTTTAATTGCTTTCCATGTTTTTGATCGCCTCCAGGCTTTGGAGGACAGAGCCTACCTCTGTACCTCGTGTTTAGCAGCATCGTGGCACCAGCTGTGCTGAGGTTTGCTGATTTGCAGCAGGTGGCAACATGGCAAAAAGGCAGCTGTGGTAATTAGCAGGGTCCAGAAGATGTTGTACTTTTTGTAGTTCTGAGAACGTATTCTAGGGAAGTCCAAACTTTCATTGCTGACTGAGAAGTGGGTTTTGGTGAGAAGATCCATGTGAGATGTTGGTAAAACTGAGAAAGAGAGAGGTCAGGCGGCAGTGGTTGTTCCCCTTGTGCAGGGATGGATTGAGAGCCAGGAGGAGCCAACCAGGTATTTGCAATCACCTGTAACGACCACTGAAGAGGGCTGGAGGAGGCACCTGTGCTGTAGGGAGGGAGTTTTTGTTGCTGTGGGTTGAATTTGGGTGCTTGGCTAGGTGTGTTGGCAGGAGATGTTTGTACCTGGTCCTGGTGGAAACGTCTTTCTTTGTGTGCAGACCTGGTCCATCCTAGCATTGTTCAACTATGGATCACCACTAGCTGTGAGGTGAACTGTAAGCATCTGCTTTGTGAGAGGTGAGCGTGGAAGAGGAGGCCTGCTTGCTTGGAAATGAGGGAGAAGTATATCTTTCTGTGAAGCTCTTCCATCCCTTTGGGTCAGAGGCAGTGGAGTTGTGCTGGTTCTGGAAGTGGTTGGTCCGATAAAGGTGAGTTGCTGCTGCTGTTATGATGAGCTCCCTCAGCATGCAGAGGGGAGTATGCTCCTGATAGCTGAGGCTCTGGTACGGTTAGGGACTGAGGTTGGACTCTTGAGAAAGAGGAGGTTTGTCATGTTGGTACCTGTTTGTGGGATGGAGCCTCCTCTCCGTGGCTTGATCTGTGGCTGCCTTTCGTCTTCTGCCCTTTATAGAGAGCTAAAAACAAGATAAAATGCTTATCTCAAGGCTTCACTCCCACTGTGAAAAAACTCTATGATTTGCTGCCAAATCTGTTCTGAAACAGTAAGACTATGCAGATAAACTAATCTTGACTATATTTTCACACTGACAGTAGGGTAGTTGTTGCAAAATTTGGAATGCCAGGTAAATATCCTTTGTTTCATCGATCTATCATCCTGTTCTGTAACTGACTGCCAAGTGACTTTGTTTTCTCACTCCGAACTCCTAATGGAACTATGCACATTTTTCCAACAACTATTGTTAAACTCAGTGGGTGAACTTGGCTGGCAAAACTCCCCTTGGTTGCAGTGGAGGCCAGATTCCACATATGCTGTTTCTCTGTTAATTAGTAGATTTATACTTTTCTCATTTCCAGTCCCTTCAAACAATTGAAGGAACTGCAGTGGGTGCATCTCATGCTGTCTGCTGCTTAAGAGAATGAGGGAAGGAATTAAACTGATTAAAACATATTTATTCTTTGTGATGCAAATGTGATGACTTAATGCTAGGTACAAAATGGCAAGTGAGGTTGTTTGCCAGCTCTGCCAGTGTTGCAGTACGTAAAAATGATGCCTCACGTATAGAGGGTTGCAGTAACTCAAGCAGTGGAAGTTTATCGTAGCTCATTGATCAGAGGCTTGAAACTGTGTATTCAGTGCTGGCTGTGATAGCAATCCTATCTTGATCTGAAGTTAGCAAAGAAATTGGGCTACTGATTAAGATTTGTGGTGTCTTTGGAGAGAACATATATCTCGGTATATATGCTGGAGCAGAGCATATTTCCTCTAATTCTTCCATCTAGGGAAGTGCTTACACTAATTCTGTGATTTTTTTTTTTGTTGTTGTTGTTGCTGCTAAGCTCTTCTTAACTTTAAAGTTATAGAAATACTGATCTTTCTGCTGTTTTAGCGTACAACATCCATGCTTGCTGGAAGCCCTAGAGAGTGAGCAGCATGACTCAAAACATAGCACAGCTCTGGTTTCACTGGTGGGTGGGTGAGTGAGGAAGGAGAGAAGCAGCCTTTGTCAGAGCAGCTACTATTTGATAGAAATAAAATACTGCATGGGTTCACCTGAAGTGTTCCCCCTAGCTTCTTCTTAACTATTCATTTCATTCATCTACTTTAAGTCAGCCAGTAAACTAATGTGGGAAAGTCATGCGCCAGTTCAGAATCATTTATCCTATGAATAACATGCTCAAAAGTCCCTCAGGATGGCATTAACCTTTATATTGACTCAAGCAAAGAGCCTCACATGATTTCTCAAGCTGCTGTATGCTAGGTGTGAAGGGAATGCAACTGAACATTATTCATCTTGTAGTGGAGTAATTAAACAATGTTTTGGTAGGAGTAACATAGCAAAGATGCTCACTCTGATATAACAAAGAGGTTATAGCGTTATAATTGCAAAACGTTGTTTTTTTTTGGTCTTGTTTCTACTTTTTAAAGCTCAGAGATTATCATACTTACACTAAAAAGTATTCCTGCTCCTTTCTCACCTCCCCAGTAAGGTGCTGATTTAAGTGCAGCTGTACTTTTAACTACCCAGTAGCACTTGCTTGACCAGCCTGAAAATATTCTTTCTTGTCTTGTAACATTCTGGATCACATCTTGCCAAATCAAATAAAGGGAAGCCTGTTGTGCAATACGGAGTATTGAAGTCAGCATTGAGCCCAGCAACAGAATAGCAGTAATGGTGTAATGCAACGGGACGAGGTGCTCACTGACATGAACGGGAATAGTATGCCTCTGCTAATGCTGCTACAGCTGTTTCACCCTGTTGTTTTTACTTTGAAGGACTTTACTAGTTCCTCGAATCTACCAAATGCTATACTCGAGTGCTTTCTCTGTTAAAGGAGGCCTACTTTAGAGATGTTGCATGGACTGAAAGTGAGCTCTTCACGTGGTGTCCTGACCCCCTCCCCGCCCCATGTTTGCACAGTGTCTTGAGAGCAGTGGTGTGCTGCAGCTCTAGGAATGGCTGTTTCTAACACTTTAACAGCATAGCATGTCAGAGGATCTGTTCTAGAATGTATTGCTTCTAGCACAAGATATGGCAGAATCTAATTAGTCAGGAATTACCCAACATATAAATTACCTAGAGCAATAGATTTACTACTGCTACTCCTAAATACAGCGTCTCCGTGTCTGACTAAGCTCCTTTCAGAGTTGTTGTTGAGGCAGTTTCCATTCAAGCCCCATATTTCTGAGGTTGGAGTATGGCCCATTCCTTATAGTAGGTGAGCAGCTACAGTTTCCTGGAAGTCTGTTCCCTTTCTTCCAAAAGTTGTGCTTTTTCTTCTCCGTCCCTGTTGGGCTGCCCGTGTTTGCTAAAACTGAAGAATGTTCCTAGCCCTGGGAATATTTAGTTAGTGTCAGATGAGCATGTTCTTCACACTTCGGGTATTTCTTAATGAGGGCTGGGGAGGGAGGGGGCACAACAAAAAATCCCAGCCCTCACTATTGTGTGTGATTTATGGTGTCAGAGGAGCTAATTAAAAATAATAGGGAGAAAACTGCCCAGAAGAGTATAATTGGAATTGAATCCAAATGGAAATTTCAGTTTTGGCCTTTCTTCTACTTTCTCCTAAGTTATGGAGAGCTTTGTGAGATGAAACTTGTTCTATAATGTGCCTGAACTAGAACAGTGAATGCAGAATTGTCTGGGTGTATGCTTAGAACAGAACTTCTGTGGCTTGGTAATCTGAACAGTTGCAACCTTTAAATGTGGATTTTTAACTACTTGAATACTTTTTAGAAATGGCATACGTAAAAGCTATGTTAAAATAATATTTTTATTTTATAAGAGCAATCTAAATATTTGGAAAGCTTGCCATTCCTGTCTTTAACAGTTGCTCTTCTTGATGTTCCTTGTTGCAATTCCTGTGTAATTTCTCTCTTTGTTTGTCACTGAAAATCTTTCATGTTTCTCTGGATAAAGTGTAAACAAGTGGTTTGTGGGCTGAAAAGAAGACAAGGTTCTACCCTCTGTACTTACAGTTTTGAGAGCCCATTTTAGATGTTTTATGAACAGAGAAAACTAAATTTAACCATGCTAGTAAAACCAAGTGAGATGCTCCCAGGCACGTAGACGGTATACCACACGTTATAAATATCTGCCTAAGACGTAGTTCAGAAGAGAGAACAGCGTGGACTCCTTGCAGCTCAACAAGAAAATTCTTGAGGTCAGTCATAAATGATTCAGCTGGCATTTTGATTAACACTAGATGAAACTCGCATTGAAGGCTTTTATTGTAGCTCATACAAACTGTTGAAGTTATGCCACGTTCCTATGGAAAACCAAAGATGATGTATATGCAGTTTGGTTCTGATGGGTTTGATGCTACAATGAGTACATGTACTGGTTTAAAAAGGAGAAGAAACATCGAATGGTTGGGGTTTAAAAACATAAAATTTGGTAAGAATGGCCTGAGTTGTTTGTTTTATCAGTACAGCGTAAGGCAAGAGGGGGTTTTGAAGTCTCGGGTGGCTCTGGGAGAAACCTTTTCCTGTTGTGTGGGATGGAGGAGTGAGTTCAGTCCTTGTTAAGGTTATGTGATGGCTCTTCTTCAAGTGGTGCTGCACAATCCGGAAATACATGGCAGAACTGCATTATCTGACTGTCTTGGGTCAGTTCCAGCTGTTACTGCTGCACCTCCTGCTTTATCCAGGCCTGTAGGAACCCAGACCTACATGCTTCTCCTGAGGTATTTTTGTTAGCTTTCAGAAGCGTGGATTTGCTTGTACTTCACAAGCTAAGATTTTTTTAATAGCCTTCAAGACCACAGCAGTGTTCAGAAAGCGAATTAATCAAGAGTCCCGTGGATAAAACGTTATGTGGTCATGTAATTAAAACCATGTGTATATACAGTGGGGCTGAACCAACGTTGCATGGGCAGTTCTAATTCTGGCAATTCTTAATTTTGGAGTGCTTGGCTTAGCAATAAAATGCTGTTTTATTGTAGTTCTTGGATGTAATTGAAAATATAGTGGGAGATGAGCAAGTGAAGTAGGAAACAACTGAAGATAATTACAAGCAGATCTTCATTTCAAGCAGAGAAGTTAATCTTCCTTTGGGCTCTTGGGCCTGTTTTAACAGGGTAATTAGCCATAGACCCTGTGGCTTTTGACTCCCAGTCCCAGCTTAAACCTCTGCATCCTAATAAATGAGGACATGCAGTTGTGCGACTGGGAGAAGCTGTCAGAGGCACATGCATTATGAGTGTCTGAACCGTGGGGAAAGCGGTCTGACTTCAGCTGGACTCTGCTTGCTTCAGCAAGGACATGTGTCCAACTGCTTTCAATGAAGCGAAAGAACGCTAAAGCAATTTTTTTCATGTGAATGGATGAATTGTATTAGTCCTTGTTCTTTCCTTTTCCCTTACATTGTCTTTTATTTGTGAAAGTATATAATCGTAGCTGAATTCAGCCTGTCAGAGCTGTAAAACCAATTAATTTGATTTCTCCTTCACCATCTTTCACACTCTGTTTTTGGGTCAATGTATTCAGCCCCCCTTTTTCCTTTTGCCTAATTACATAGGCATTGCCAGGTGTGAATCTCATCTGAAAGTCCTTTTGCTATGTATCTGGTGCAAATGATTATTACTGTCTTGATGGTGTTCGAAAGCTCCTGTCTTTCAGGAGCAGGCTCTTGATGTTTTCTTGTTCACTTCTTTTGACTTCTAAGGCTCAGATACCCTTTCAGTAGAGTCCTCTTCAGAAGTCATTTGAGGGGAACTGGGTCTCTGGCCACCAGTGCTGCTGTAGGAA